CCCGAGGAAGACCCAGGATACACTGGAGGGACTATGTCTCTCGGCTGGCCTGGGAACGCCTTGGAGTTCCCCCGGAGGAGTGGCTGGGGAGAGGGAGGTCTGGGCCTCCCTTCTGAAGCTGCTGCCGCCGCGACCCGACCCCGGATAGGCGGAAGAAAATGGATGGATGGATGGATAGATGGATGGATATTTATTTATTTATATTATTTGACTAGCATTTTGCTTTTTTAGCTTTAGCTAGAATTTAGCTTTTCTTAGCTTTTAGCTCGTGTTTTGCTTCTTTCAAATTTAAGCTAGCCTTTGATACCACAACTTCAAGGTAAAGTTATGCTACTTTTTGCTTTCAGTTTGTCTTTTGTTTCTTTCAGCTCACCTTTTGTTATTTTCAGCTGATATTTTGCTAATTTTAGCTTTAATGCAACATTTTGCACCAATTAGCTGGTCTTTTACTACTTCAAGCTTTTAGAAAGTCTCATCTTTTTAGCTATCATTCTGATACTTTTAGTTTTTGACTAGCATTTAGTGTTTTTTTAGCTTTAGCTAGTCTTTTAGGTTAGCTGGGGACAGGTTCTTAGCTAATCTTTGATACTATAGCCTTTTGCTAAAATTTAGCTAATTTTTGATTTCACTTAGTTTTTTGTTTCTTTTACAGTAGCTCATCCTTTTGCCTTTAGAAAACCTTTTAAATTTTGACTAACTTTTTGCTACTTTCAGCATTCAGCTGTTTTGAAATTTTAACTAGATTTTTTTTCTTTTAGCTTTCATTTTGATCATCTACTATTAGCTTTGCTCCTTTTGCTCCTTTTTTGTAGCAGTCATTGTGGGACATTTAGTTTTTCACTAGCATTTTGCTTCATTTTGCTTTAACAGTATGCATGCTATTGTTCTAACAACTTCAGCATGATGGAGCTGTTTACAGAGAATTCATTTTTTCCTGTTTTATCAAAATCTCTGAGTTTCAGTTGGTAATTTATACCATCCAACACATTTTTGTTTTGTGCAGCTCAATCTTCTCAATTTTAATTAGTTAATGAATTAATTAATTTAGATATTTACCCTTTCTTCTGTTTGGAGCTTCTGTTGGTTTGGATAAGACCCTCGAGCCACTTGTAGTCCCTCATGCCCTCAGGAATCAGTACGTACTTTATGCCCTGCCATAAGGAGAGGAGAGATATTTTAAAGAGAGTGGGAGGTACTAACGTACAGCATTACTGTAGGTCATACCTCATCATGCGGTGCAGATTTATATCCGTACTTCTTTAAAAAATAAACTGATGAGGAGATGGAATAAGAGGTGTGCACGTACACGGACGTCCTGTTCCCCACATCTTCCTCATAACCCTCAATCGCTGCACCGTTCATCCTGTCACACAAATCAGATATAATCATGAACTAAAATTGTGTTTAAATGACGCTGTCATGCATTCTGATGTGAAAATAATAAAGAAAATAAAAGTAGGCCCTATTCAACTTGATTTTGATCTGTGCCATGTGGTTGGAATGACTTTGCAGAATGTTCTTGTTCAACCTGTATTGGAGACAGGTTTTTTTTTCCTTTTTAATCTTCACTGGTTTTAACTGTGTGTGACAGATGTGATTACCTTTGGTTTCAGTAATCCCTGATGAAATCTTTCAAACAAAATGAAATGAATGTCATGCTGACGTAAACTTGTGTCTGTTATAAAGCACATACTTTGAGTCATCTGGACTGAAAGGCCATAACAAACTAAACTAACAGCTTCTTCTTTTCTCTTATCTTACCGGAAAACATAATCATGAGCATCAATTTCAGCTCCCATTTTTGAGCCGTTGAGGATGCCTCCGGTTCCCACCACAGCGCAGTGAACGCAGCCATCGCCGCCTGGTTTTGGAAGGAGCAGCGGCTCCTTTGGCTTTGAGATCAGCTTCAATGCAGGCATTACCTCTGCAAACAAAACAARTAAAGATAAATATACATTTACTTTCTGGTTCCTGTAATAGAAAGGTGTTTTGTGGATGATTTTCCAAAAAATGAAAACTTATTGATGACATGAACTCCTTGAGGACAGCATCACAGGGGATTTCTGTGGAGGACTGAAGCAGAAATATATCAATGGACCAATAAATAAATAAATAAATACACTTAAAAAGTACCAATTAAATGAAAAAGGAGAACTTTACCTCATGTTTTATAATTTAACTGATACTCATATTTATTTTTCCAGCTTAGTTCCAATACATAAGTCCACTAATTGGTTTACTGTTTTTTAAATATATATATATTGTTTTTCCTTTTACTTGTAGATGCATCTGTGTCTCTTAAATGATCATATTTAATTTTTTAAAATAATTTTTGTGTTTCTTTACACTTCTCTGCATTTCTGCCTCATTAAGCAAATAAAGTGGGCGGTCCTTTGTTCAGCTCCTCTCCTATTGGTCAGCAGACAGGAAGAAGCAGAATCCGTGTGCAGATTGATGCGCATGCGTGTGCTGCCTTGGTTTAGCTTGAAGTTTAAGGTTTTGGTATAAAAACAAAGGCAAGGGGAAAAGCACTTACCTGTGGCTTTATTATCAACTAAACTTTAAGCTTTGAGCTAAACTGAGGCAGAACAAGCACGCACAGTCGATCTGCTCTTGAATCCTGCTCCTTTAATTTAAATTATTTGGTAAAATATATAATTCATTAGAAATAAGCTGAAAAATATACATGAATCATAAAAATATGTATAAACCATAAAACATGAAGTAAAATTCTCCTTTTTAAATTTAATTTGTGCTTTTTAAGTGTATTAATTAATTAATTAATTAATTAATTGGTCAATTTATACATTTATGCTTTTGTTTATGTCAGATTCTGTCCTCCATACATTTCAACAAAATTAACAGTAAATTTTATCTCATTTAACAACAACTCAAACCTCAAAAGCAGCTTTAAGCTCTTGTGTCATTTTTCATGTTATTTCATGTCATATTATTTTTTTGCTGTTATTTAGCTTTTTTCTTTAGGGTTATTCTTTTTTGTTTTATGTTTACTTCTAGGTTTTGAGCTCTGTGTTTAGGTCTGTTCCTCTGTGCCAGCAGTTCATTTCCACAGCAGTTTCCCATTGTCGTTAGCTGTTATCATCAAGCCACCTATTTCCCTTTACCGCCTCAGGCTTTTTAATCACGTTCTCTGTCCATGTGTTGCCTGGCTTTGTGCACCTGATGCCATGTCTGGTCGTCCTCAGTAGCTCTTTGAGTTTATTTTGTTGTTTTTGTCAGCTTTTTGTTTAACAAACATGAACGCTCTTTGATGAACTAGACTTGTCTTGCTAACCGAGCTCGCTCTGCTATCGAAGAGCTACTTTGTAAATGAATCTAATGTTCAAGTTTTCACCTTTGCAGTGTGGACCAGCGTGGTCTGTTAATAGTCGAAACCATTAATAGATGATTAAAGCATGTACGTTCTTCACAATTTGCTTTTGAAAAAGGAAAAAATCGGATGTTGCAACTGACCCCAGGGACGGGGACAGTTGCAACAAYGCCTGGGAATGGTTGCAACATATTATTAATACAATATATTTCACTGTAAATAAAAGTTTTATTATTTTTATATTTATATTATTGCTAAATTTATAAAAACTGTAAATTACAATGATATTACTGTTATTTATTGTTTTAGATCAAATGACAAATATAGATTTCCTTTGATGAGTAGACCTTTTAGATATCAAAGACTCAAATTCATATAAAATACAGTTGGCTTTCAGTGACAACAATAATAGATAAGTTTGTGAGGCAAATAACTTTTGTTTTGCCTATTGTCACAGAATGCTTCCAGTATGCATAATTTACATTGAACTAAACTGGGATTCCAAAAACCACAACTGCAGAAAATACATATTAAACACTTTTAAGTTTTAAACTATAAAATTATCACGAACACCCAATATCTATTCAAGTACAAACTTAATTTCAACAACTTAATCTCATCTTTATGTGGTCTGCTTTTATATGAATTTTTTTGTACGTCCCCCTTCCTGTCAGCCATGATAAACCCTCATGTGTTAGCTAAATAAGCTGGTCTGGATAAGTGTTAACCATATTAGTTAAAAGTCAACATATAAATCCTGGAGCAGTTTTCGAATCTGCTTACTTTTTCTTTGCAAGGTGGGGCATCTAACTGAGCACGTAGCATGTTTCTGTTTGGAGAAAAATGACGTGTTGCAACCATCCCTTGTTTCTACTGTCTCCCTAATTGTAAATAGAGATGGGAATCCAGATTTCAAAGACTGTTCAAAAGCATTTTTTAAAGAAACACCAACTGTCTGCCTTTTATAAGATCGAAATTAAAATCATCATGTGCTGAGATGGACTTTAAATTCGTGTAACGATTGCTTTTCTGCAAATTAAAAAAAATGTGTTCATTGATTCTTCAGATTTTAAACTTTTAAATTATGATTGTCCAAAGAAAACATCCATGCAATTTTACTGTATTAAATCTAACTAATAGAGTTAACTTTGACACTGTTTCTGAGTTCATTTGGGCCCACTCAAAATTTATTTGAATCTTTAAAAAGTTGAAATTACTCAACTTTCTTTAAAAACTCTGACTTTGACTTTGTCACTTAAAAAACTGCTGATTTTGCTTTGCTTTGAAAATCGTACCTGTCTAATGCAGCAGCTCACAACTACTCCACACACACACATGAAGAATGAGAAATATGAGGATAAATACCCGTGAGGAGTGCGTGTAGTCATAGATCAAAAACAAAAGGTTCTGAAAAACTGTCAAACCTACCGTCATGCTTCATTTCCATAAAACCAAACGGGTTGTTGAAATGTGAGAGCCGGTTCCACTCGCTCATGTTGATGTTGTCTCTGTGCAAATACAAGCGCACGTTGGGCAGGAAAGTCTTCTGGAAGGCCTCGTCCTTGGAGTTGCGCAGRGASTGGGCACATGTCTGAGTGAAAAGGATCAATTCTAAAATTAATTCAGAATGTTTATTTAATCGAGACCATTAACAATAAAACAAATACAAATCAAAAACCCTGTTTGATTTAGTGGAAGGTCAGGAGTCAGTAGGTTAAAAAAACAATTGTAAATCGTTCAGAGAGAACAGCAAACACAACATTTATCCACACCAAAGACATACAAGTGAACACCTTCCAGGCAGAGCTGYTAACGCCCAGAAAGTTAATATATTTGTTACGTTCTTGTCCTTTGTAGYCTAAAAGCACTTACTGCTGGTCTCGGTGGAGCATCCTGGTTATAARTATCCTCAAAATCCCACTGAGGAAGTTTCTTGAAAGACTTCTTGAGTATGATGGGAATAGGGGTCTCGGGAACAGGGGTTGTCGTATTAAGTGGTTTTGTTGTCATTGGAGTCGTTGGACCATTGTTGAATCCTATTTTTTCCAAAAATTTGTCATATTTCATCCAGCTGTCTTGTCCCTCAAATTTGTTAAGTCCTGAGAAAGCTGCCCAGCTGGATATAAAATGGGATTAAACAAGTTTAACAGCTGGAACTTTAGCGCACATTGTTTTAGTGCAAATAAAAGAAAAGAAAAGTTTTTATGTTTCTCTAATTTTTCAGAAAACGAAAACACTTACCTTAGGTTCTCTGGTAAAAGTGACTGAGTTAGGAAAAGAAGTAAAATGCWGGCTAACATCACCATCAGCAAAGACAAATGTCTGACACTTTGAATCGCCATCCCTGAGAAGTTTAGTGTAATGCAGACAGAAAATGCACTTGTTGGCAGTTGATGCACAAAGGAAAGATTGCGTTGGAAATATTCTTAAACTGTCACGTAAGCAAGGGAAAAATCACGCCCTGCTGATTAGACGAATGTACCGCCAAGAAATTCAGCATGGAATTTGCTCAAAGGTGAGGAGGGTTCGACGCAAGCATGAGACTGCACTGAGAAAAATAACTTGTAGATGTACTTGAAAAAAAATCCTTTAGCAAACTTGCATGAACGTTTGGTAAGTAAATTGAAATGCTACAAATTCATGTAATATTCACTCATCATTATCT